TAACACTCCCACATTAAATTGTTTTGTGTCTTTCCACAGGAATCTGAAGCAAAAGTCACATTTTATGTAAGTGGTGTGTTGGTGGCACTGGGGGATTGCACTTGGAATGGCAGAGTGGTGGAAGTGGCAGCTGGTGGTGACCCTCTGACTTGCATAATTAAAAAAGGTCCTTTATCAAGATGAAATTTTAAAAGTACTCATGAAAATGAGAATAATTTTGAAAGAAGCTTTCAACTTTAAAATGGTCCTTTGAGCACCAGCTAGTTGTATGGTCGTCCCTTGTCACCCAAACTGCTTTAGAGTCTTCCCAGAGTTCCTCCCATGACAGTGAAGGCTCCCTGCATGGAGAGCACTGGGAAGACTTCTCTTGGCGTTTAAGGAACCAAGGAAAGATGCTCTAACTTCCTTTGGAAGTTGCAGTACTGCCAGGCATGGTTTAGACTCAGCAGGTATCCCAGTCCAGGATAATCAGTACAGGATTCCCCAGTGCCAGGCTGCTCTCTGCTGTAGGCGGCTGACCTGTCCCGTTCCTCCCAGCAGCCAATTCCTTTCTTCACCTCAATCCCGGGTGGGCTGCAGCCATCCAGGGTGATCACCATATCCTGCACTCTGCTACCCAATGCTGAGAGGTAAGACAGGGTCCGCAGGGCTCTCTGATGCCTGGAAATCAGGGGAAGGGGATGAGGCCCACATCTGGGAGACAGAGAGAGTCCATGTCTTTTGCCCTCTCCAGGTTCCATATCAACCTATGCGCTGGGACAAACATCGCCTTTCACCTGAACCCTCGACTCAGTGAAAAGACTGTGGTCCGAAACTCTAAGATCAAGGGCGCCTGGGGGTCAGTGGAGAAAAGCCTGCCTGTCAGGATGCCCTTCATCGCAGGCCACAGCTTCAAGGTAAGATGCTGCAGCCTGGAGCTTGGGGAGCTCCCTGGCTGCAAGTGAAGGATGATGAAATCTTGGGGTACTTTGAATAGGTTGAGGATCCATGCTTGTGATTAGAGGGCTGTCCTCCCTCTAATCGCAAGCATGATTAGAAGAGAGAGATGTGTAGCATGATAAAGGAAGAGAGATGTATAGCAAAATTATTATCATAATAAGATCATTGCACCCAGAGAAATGTATTGGTATCTACTCATAATGGATGAGCAAACAAAATCACAGGACAAGTTACTTGCCACAAGAGATACATACCCACTTCTGCCACAGCAAACTCAAGAATAGGTTACCAGGAATGGATTTGTAGATTTACTCAGCAATCACATGTCTGCTTTGGGATTGGGCTCATTTCTGCAACAGATATGCATGTTCACAGATGCAGTCAGGAAGCAGGGAGAGCAGGTCCTACCCGTGGGGTTGCAGTCTAGGTGAGGAGGAGCCAGGAGAGCAAGGCAAGAGACACCTAGCACCATCGGACAGTGGCTCTGGGTTGGAAGGATCCGCCCTTGTGGGGGGCAATGTGCAGAGGAGGGAGGGGCTGTGCAGAGCTGCACTGCAAGGTGGAGAGGAAGGGTGAGAGGTGTGCAGAGCGGCCCCAGGCCTGGCCACCCCCCCTGCACATCAGGTCACATGCAATGGTTACAAAAACAAATGCATAGTAGCACTCTGGAAAGTCAAAGCAGGATGATGCCAAATTTGAGGGCAGCCTGGGCAATTTAGTGACTTAGGGAGGCTTTCTCTAAAGGAGAAAAATTTAAAAATAAGGAAAGGGATGTAGCTCAGCATAAAGGCCCTGGGTTGATTCGGAAGTACCACAGGAAGAAAGAATGAAATATAAAGAAAAGAAGAAAAGAAAGGAAGGAAGGAAGGAAGGAAGGAAGGAAGGAAGGAAGGAAGGAAGGA